CGTCAGCTGGCGAACAAATGGCGATATTGGCCTCGGCGAGACACGATACGAAATGTGTTTCGCTCGTCGTCGGACAGTCCAGGCCTCAGAAAGAGGACAATAATTTCTCGCTTGCCTGGGCCCTGAATGGCGCTGCCACTGTCGCCCTGCTCTCGGGCCGCGCGGACGAATCACGCAACGCACTTGCTGACGACCACTAACTCAATTGTGGGCCGCATATACAAATTGGACGCGACGCCACCGCGGCCGCGGAGATCGATGAAGAGACAGCTGACGGCCGGCAAGAACTGTACGTACGTCGAATTCATAACAAGGATGCGACATCGATGTCGATGTTTTCATAATACAGATGTTATAAAATCATCGTTGTAATTAACATCGATTTTTAAAGCCAAAATATTTTTAACATCGCTGTTTTGTGCTTAAAGCTTTCGTGTTCGATATTGTTTAAATGGGCGAAGACTATCATAACAAAATCCTATTTTAATTTTTATACATACATAAATTAAACATTCCTTACTCAGACCGATGTGACCAAGGATGAAAAATAAATTAATTCGATTTTTCGTCAATAAAGAAGCCTATATTATTTTTGAATTATCGAAATAGATAATCCAATTTCCGTTAATTGCTTTGAGGATTTTTAAACTTTATTTTGACAGTTAAATCTCAATTAAAATCAATAAATGTGCCTACATTCAAATTAAATCAATTTATAAACATCGGTGTTTTGTGTCGATGTTTTAATTTTGAGCATCAATGTTTAGAAGCATCGACGTTTTGTTGGCGATGTGGCATCTCGAATTCATAAGGCAGCGTGTGTTAAGCGGGTTGCATAATGTAAAACAGCTCGTATCATGTTCGTATCGTATAAACATAGCTTGTTCATTATTGTATGAATAGCCTGAGATGTCACTATATCGCACCTCCAATAGAAAAGTGACACAAGTGCAAAATCGTCATTTTTCAGCTAAAATCTGATAAGAGGTTACCAAGAGGTACTGCTACTATTCTCAAGTTGCTTTTAGTTCATTTATTTAGTTTAATTATTGTGCGTTAGAAGGTGAATATCTGGTACAATGTATAACGAGTATTACAGAACTACGAAACTTAAAATTGCAATTTCTGAGAAATCAGAAATTGGCACGTCTGTCACTTTTCTATTGGAGATGCGATATATTATACACCACATCACTGACCATCGTAACAAGATCTAAACTTTAAAAAACATTATTTTTACACCCACAAAAACACGTTCATTACTTTCATCAATACGTTTCATTAATTAGAGTCGCGAAAAAAACGAAACAAGGAATGTAGCAAACAAATACAATCGAAATACCAACTATAACCATTATTCTTACCACGAATGTATTTCATATAATTTTGTCCTCAGTTTTCACAATTACCATTTGATATCAGTACATCACCTCATAATAGCGCACCGCTTCAATGGAGTAGTTTGCAATGCCACTTCAAATGGTGCAGGCAAGATCAAATGACTCAATTCACTCAACCTTATGCATTAGGTTCTGTAGTAATGGTAGTGGAAAATAATTGGCATAAGAGACATTTTCTAAACATATGAAGAATGTTTGCTTGACGTGAAAAAATTGCCTGTAACTCTTTCAGTTAAACACGTAACAATATTATAAATTAAAGCATAAAATGCAATGTATCGACTCGAACATAATAAGTCCAATTAATAACAACAATAATATTAAGATTATTTTTAAGATCATTATTTTTCTGTCTATGTTTTTTCCAAATTACTCAGACTGTACTTTGGCTTTTGATACTCCCTACAAAATTCGTCTATAGTAATCACAGAAAATATATTTCACAAATCAATGCTTGGTCACGAAATAAGACAATGCGTTTTTGATATTTCTCGAAGTTACTACAAACTTCATCGCCGATTCGGCATAATTAATTGCAGTATGTTGTGATTGACACAAAGGCGGTAACTGCAAGTAATAATGTATTTCTGAAAAAATAAAATAGTATTATACCAAGATGAGAATACATGCATTGTTTTCTTCTTCGTATGCGAGTAGCTCTTGCCCCGAAAATATGTTAAACTAATTTTTTCGACCCTACAAAAATGATTAAATTTATTAAATGTCTACCATTACAAGACAGATTGTTTGCTAAGCTGTGCATTGAAATGGGCGAAAACAAATAAAAGCTAGTATGAACACTATAAAAACCGGCTTTGATGGTATATTGGTTATCATGCAGGGCTACTGATTCCAAGTTTGCGGGTTCAAACCCGGTGCACGTCGGGAATTTTTGAGGTGCCAAAGATCGATGGCATGCATGAGGACGCTTTTCGGCTTGTAAAACAGATCCCGGGAAAATTAAATCCTCCCGAAATTTAGCACCAATCAGAGTTTCGGTTTGAATTATTGGATAAAATTATGGATATTGTATTTTGCCATTGCTATCTAGTATTCAAATCAAACTTCAATATAGGCGCACTATCGCCCCTAGGGAAAGCAATGGCAAACTACCATAAGTGTACTTGCTCAGAATAAGTTTCACAAGAGGGTGCTAGGGGCTTCTGGAGATTCGCCTACACATTAATCGGTGAATGGCATTAAAAGAAGAATATTATCACGGAGAAAAAGTTTTGGGAAACGGAAGATGAGTTAATCACATTTTCGGGATATACACTTATAAAGATATGATAAGACATATTATTAATGTCAAAGTCCATGCTAACTTTAAGAAGTTTGAAATTTAAATTATTCGCCTAGAATCCAAAAAAAAGTGAATACAATGACTTATGATTATTTCTTCAATATAAAGTTGAGTGAAGAAATACCTTATTAACCACCAATTGGATTGGATGAAAATATATTTGCGTGAGCTACAATTCAATTTGAAAAGTATTTCCATGAAAATAAAAATGATTCTTTGAAGAAATAGGTACTGAACCAATAGAGTGAAATAGTTGTTTCAACTGGTATGTTTCCGGTTGAAATTCATTGCCGATTCAGCGAAATGACCACCGATAAGACGTAAATCTAATGCACATCTGAAAACATTGATATGTTCGCTAGCTCTTCAAAGTGAATACAGAAATTTTAGTCATAGATTCATTGAAAATATTAAATTCTTTCGCCATAAAGTACTTCTGCAGGAAGAGTTTTTCGTCAATGGTTGTGCTCAAATATAGAAATCGTCTTTTGCCAGATGAAAACAATTTGTTCCAACAAAGGAACTGCACAAACGTATAACAATGCCATTATATATATATATATATATATATATATATATATATATATATATATATATTATACACGTTTGTTTTGTAATTCCAGTTTCTATACCGCCAATTTCCTTTTGAGTGCGAAGCAACCCCCGGTGCAGCTAGATCCCACAAACGAGAGCACTGGTGATTGGGCACCCCGCGCCAGGAGCAAAATCGCCAGCGAGTGTGCAAGGCCACGCTTCGGCCGTCCACGCCGCAGTGAACGCCCATCGGGATGCCCAGCTCCACCGCTCCACCCCGCCACACCGCAATTAGCCCGCCAAGGCCACGTTGCGCGCATACGGCACCCCATGCCACGCCCCTCTCTCGCCGTGTGTCCCGCCCTCCACACACCCACGCCGCCACTCGCCACGCCGCGCTACGTCACGCACGCCGCGGCCACGCGCGCCGCGCCCCGTCGCCTCGATCCCACTGACGAACCCGGCGGCGACAGGCGCGCTTGTCAGGCACGCGACGCGAGCGGGCGGTTGGCGCGGCGAAGGCGACCACGACGACGAGGGCGGCGGCGGTTGCGCCGACAAATGTCCGGGCCTGAATAATGACATCACGCACCGCCCTCCGCGTCTCGCCCGCGCGCCGGAGGCTGTCTTTGCTTTGGCAGGACTTCTCTCGCCGCCGCGTCGGGGTGAGCTTACCTAACCGAATTATTATGCTTGATCGCCTGGCAGCGATTTTACACCGGTCCTTCCAAACTTGTTCATCGACGGCGCTCGGACACATGATCGACCGTTCGTCGTTTTCTTGTTCTTCTACAAAAACCCACGACGTGCAGATTGAACCAACCTTATTTGATGTTTTGCAGATACGTGAAACGCGAAAGTCACAAAATGTAATTTTAAGAATCATAATCCGCCAATGCTATTTCACATAAGCGATAAATTCTGAAAAAGCGAGAGAATAAGAATGCCTTTAAAATATCTCAAATGGAGGATATTACCCAAAAACCTGAAAGGATATAAAGTGAAGAAATATGAGATATTTCGCAGAGTGGTCGGAAATTCTTACAAATCGGCCTCGTAGGAAAAAATTGTAAGAGCAGTAATAATGATCTGTCGACATCTGAGTGCAATTGGTAAATCTATTTCACTCAAAGAGTTCATTGTAGTGATAGAATGTCAAATGAAACTTTTGATAATAAAACTAGTGACTAAAAGAACAAACAGACGTAATTATTTTTATGAGGTTTATCAGTCTTCTACAACAGCATAACTCGCATTAACTCTACAATGAATAAATCACATCGCACAAGTTGGTACCACTGGGGCATGCAAAATCTACTGTTTTTCTTTGCACGACGGCGAAATCAGCCATACTACTCACTAAACCTATGGTGTGTTCTGGACTCTTAAAATCCTAGTGGTGTTTCCGCTCTGTTTTTTTTTTTTTCACACAATTACGATGCTTGTGTTCCGCCATCCAGTTTGATGTCAGCCATATTTTCTGCAGCAGATTCCAGTGACAACGGAAGGACTCTGCAACGACCTTGTGTAATTCGATTCATATGATATCATTTATTTGAAATTTATGTATTGTAAGTCAGAAACCGTCAATCGACAACCGACAAACCATCAATTTATTTATAATCGGTACCGCCAGGTCACTTGTTTGGAGATGCAAAATTACTCGGAGGTATGTTTTCGCGACATTGTGTATAGGCAATTTGAGCGCTAAACCAGAAGACGCCACGGTTCAGGTCCCAGACAGGCGACAAAGTTTTTGAACAATGAATAACCAGTGTATCTTATTGTTAGTTGTCCTTATGTTGGCGCTTGTTGGTGGCAGGTACCGGGAGTCGCGTTCTGGCGCGCGGCCATCTCCGGCGGCGGGCGTGGGCAAGCGTGGCGCGCGCGTGCGCCTCGGGCGGCTGTCACCTGCGCGCTGCGACCGCACGGCGCGCGCACCGCCGCCGCCCGCCGCCGCGCTCCCCGGGGGCGGCGGCGGGCGGGGGGCGGGCGGGCGGAGCGGGGGGGCGGCCGGCGCGCGCGCCCACCACCGCGCCCCCCGCGCGCCGCCGCCCCCGCCGCCGGGCGCCGCCGCCGCCGCCGCGTGGAAGTGGGGCGGCTGCTCGCACAACATGGACTACGGCCTCAAGTTCTCTAAGATGTTCCTGGACTCGAGGGAGCGCGCCGGCGATATGCAGGCGCGCGTCAACCTCCACAACAACCAAGCCGGCCGCTTGGTAAGTACGTTGCACAAGCACGTGCGCCTTCCACAGCGGCCCCTACATACGTTTAAACACGTAAATGCTCATATCGCTACATTAATAGCTCTGTCAACTTAAAAATCTCATTTTTCTTTCACGCATAAATTAATTAACAAGTATCTATTCGGTACATAAATTTCAAATGTCATCCATCTCTTATAAATAATCAGATATTCTTCTCGTAACTTTGTTTTCCCTTCATAAGATTATTTCAAGAAAACTATTTATAGTTATTCTTCGTGTAAGTAAAATAATAAATTATCATATCTATATAATAATTTATAGAATTTTATAAACAATGTCATTCTTTAGATTAAAACTCATATCTAAAAAACCTCAAAGAGCAACGCTAAAGAAAATCAAAGCCACAAAGCAAGAGTACCAATTGGTAAGCCAATAATACGCTAATTTTTATTGGCGTAATGCGACGGCCCCTACAAGATAAGATGTAAGAATAAACTTAACAATTGAAATATTATGTAAAATATAAATAAAGGGTTGCAAGAGCGGAGGGTTCCAGCATGTGGTCACATAAAACAATGGAGCGGCTATATACCACCACAACCCCAAATATCGACGTACATCGCGGACATAGAACTAATAAACCTGCGTAATCCATATTTACATAAAATTTAAACCTAAAACCTAACTGATTCAATACCATCCCGCCAACAAATATAAATCCCTCTCCAATATAAAGCTCATAATCATATATTAAACACTAGTCAGACCACTAGTGCCCTTCATATGTTCACCATGGACAAATGCGGTAATCACAAATGTCAGCAAGCACCAGAATAAAGGCCCGAGACTAAACATTAACTTCCCCCAGATCATCAGAGACAAACCAACTCCTTACGGAATTAAACATAATCCAATACCATAACAAGTAGTCTACATATTCCACTTCTATCAAACCCAAACTACCATATTGGCACTATAAATGACAAAATCTCCAAAAATATAATGTACACAACAATAAAAAATACATCCTCATTTAAAGCTTTTGTAATAAAAAATTAATCAAGATATTTAACCACAAGTTCTCCTCTCCAATGCTAGATTTAGTCAGTCTTTAAATTTAACTAATACTTGTAAACACGTATGTATGGTATAACATTGATCGACGGGCATTGACAAAGTAAATAACATGTTTATAAAAACCGCCGCAGGAAAGCGTTATAGCATGGGGATTGGGCGCAGAAAAATCCCAGTCGGCACCCGAACTTTTGTGTCAAAGCATTATGCAGAAGCGGGGATTTCATGAGGTATTTGCGATGTTCTCAAAGGATATGAATTTTTTGCGGTAGTGGTTACTTCTCGGTACGAAATGTCAAGTATTCTTAGAAGATCCTCTAACAAGAAGGAAAACAGAAATTACGTGAGTATACTGTCGTAATTCTGTTTCTTAGCATTAATGATTAATGCTATATAACTAAGTAAGAAAAGAACACAAAGTTACGTCAGCTTTGTTTTTTTCACGGAAGCCACAGTCTGTTTTTTGCCATTGTGTAACTTCTACTAAATATTACGTCAACGTAAATACAAGTAGGACTCGTTTATATTCTATAGTACAAAACCATTCTTAAGTTTTGTAATGTAACATCCGTGAGTTTAAAATTTACTTCGCAATAAAATGCAGGAACACAGAAAAACGATTACAGACCCTTGGCGAAGTAAATGCAGAACATCAAAAAACATAAATCTCTATCACTTAGTATTTGTATCGTATACAAAAACAAAGAACTATTCACAGTGCAAACATACCTTAGTTATCGTGTAGGAAGTATTGCTCACATCTTAAAAATATATATTTCCCTGGTTCTTTTCTAAAAATAATATTGTTTGAACAATAGCTACTTGAATTACAATTTATTACGAATAACATGATCAAAGACTTCAAAGACTTGTATTTTACGCCTATTGCATTCGAGTTTCTGATGTCTATTAAAGACTTTTTCCGACATTTCGTTCATGAATATTAAGATATGAACTGAAGATTTGCTCGCCGACCGTCATGTCGACCTGCGATATTTTCCTCCTCCAGTTTTCTCCGGTTGGGGCAGTTGCCCCAGCCGGGACAAGCTCTAAGATTCCGACTAGTCTCCCGATATGTATAGTAGCATCGCTCATGCAAGTGTGTGTGAGAGAGAGAGAGAGAGATAGAGAACGACAAAAAAATAAAAGGAAAAAAAAAACCACGAGTGACGAGGGAGTTGCGTGCGATCCGCGACCTAATTGTTAGGGTTCCGGCATTTGGCCGGTACTTATAGGAGAAATCACGCAAAACTACCGATCAGAGCAACCGTCAGCCAGAATTCCCCACCATACTATAGCTGAAATTAATAAAGCTATCTGTCTAGAGTAGAATATCCGCCACGACGGATCTCGATTTCTAGGACTTCGCGTTAGAGACGCTGCAGCAACAAGCTGGCTAACCTATCTCAGCCGGTCATCATTTCCAATCGCCGAACTTCCGCACCTGATTCCTCCCCGCCACTCACGGCATCAACCCGCGCGCTAATCGCCCCAAGCGGGCGCGCATCACGCGAGAGAAGCCGCCACGCCAGGCCACGCTTCCAGCGGCGGTCAGCGGGAGGAAGCGCGGCTCCATACGACGCGCGAAACGCCTCGCCGCCGGCCGCCCACTCGCACGCTCTCCGCGGCGGCGATCGATAACGCGCACGCGCCCCGCACGCACCGTGCGACGCCCATCCTCCCCCCCCCCTTGCACACTATTCTTCCTCCTCCACCACCGCGCCGCTCGGCGCCGCGCCGCGGTAATTAAGGCTCGAATTCTAAAGCACCGCCCCTCCTCGCACCTCACGCCTCGTTTGCGGGGCCCCTTCCCCAGGCGACGCGGCGGCGGGGGCAGTGGTTAAGCAAAACTGGAGGTGATGGCGGTGGCGGAGACGGCTAACTCCGCGATGGCTGAGAAGGAACCAGAGCGCGGAAAGTGGTGGTTTCGGTGTTAGTGGCGAAGTGACAGCTGGAGTGGTGGCTGTGAGAGGGAACGAAAGTGGAGTTCGTGAATGTAAATGGTGAATGGAAATGGTAGTGAAAGAGACAACGGAAGAGGGTGAGGAGGCGGCAAAGAAGGTGGCGCTAGAAGCGGCGAATAAGACGATGACGGCAGGAAGGTTGTTTGTGGAAAATGGATGGCAACCCGGGCAAGCAAGTTAAGCTAATGTGGTGAAGCGACAACAGAAGTGGTGGCTATGGGGGAGATAATGTGTTGTAGAATGAGAGCGTAGGCTTTCGCAGCGGGAATCAGAAGCTTCTTGACTGCCCGTAAGACGCCGCGTTCTAAACATAGGAACCGCCGTGCCAAGGAAACGCATTCACCCTGAAGAAGATCGCAGAATGGTGGCCGAAACGTTGGCACCTTTGCCTAGGACGCGACGTCTCCCGAACAGTCAAGCAGCTAATGGGCTGTGGAGTTCGCGATGGCAATGGAAATGAAGGAGGCACTGGAAGAGGGTGAGGAGGCGGCGGTGAAGGTGGCGCTGGAAGCGGTAAAAAAGATGGCGACGGCAGAAAGGCTACTTGCGGAAAAGTGATGGCAACTCGCTTAAACTAGTTTCGATAATGGTTAAGACGAGCACGATTGAAACAGAGGAAAGTAAAACGAAGGCAACGTCCATTGCGCTAGCGATGGTGGCAGCACTGGAAAGAATGGAAGCAGTTGGGACTATTGAAACGGTGAAGTTGGTTCATCCTCCCGACGATAAACAAGTGGCCTGCGGCGAAAGCGGCTCTCTGGTGTTGCCAATTATCGCAGAGCCTCCACAGCCGCGCACAGTGTTTGCGCGTTTAACGAGTGGTCCCGGTTGAGCCAAGAAATATCCATATCCACATGTAATGTTATTCTGTTCCTTTTTATCATAACTATGTTTTTTACCCTATCGGACACAACGTATCATTCAACAAAAGAAATTCATTCTTATTGCTGTTATATTGTCATTAAAATTGATACTAATTTTACAATCAACTGTGAAAAACAATTTATGTCTTCCTCTCTATATAACGGCGTGTTAATATATTGTATTTCCCCATGAGTACTTAAATACAATTTAAGAAACTCGGCCTGGTAAATTAGTACATTCTCTGTTTCCACCTGAACTACAATTAATACAGAGGTCCTGTATTCTACTCTTATATTGAGTTATGAACCTTGTTTCTTTTGCTTTTGATAGTCATGTTCTGTGCTAAAATACGAGATGTGTCATTATTGTGGTTAGGACAAGACTATACAATTTTAGACAAATTTAGCAACAACTTGTTAGCAAATTTTATCATCCGATGTAATGGAACGCGGACGTTATAATTTATCATTAGAAAGTCTGCAAAAAATACTCCCTTCAAATTTGTCCAAATTCGTCATTAACCTATAAATGTTACGCGTATTACATTCTTTCAGTGTGATTGTACTAATCCGCGAATGCCGTATGCTACTCGACACTTACTTAAATATATTTGAAGTAGGAAGGGTTCATGCGTGCGTGGGAATAGGCATAATATTGCAGTATTAATTGTGCGAATACACTGAATACTTATTTATGTCTTTAGACTGGAAAGTCATTTATGACAAAACGAGTAAAAATTTTTCAAACAAGACCATTTTAGGAGTCGAGGTTGGAAAATCGAAACAAGTATTGTCAAAATAGCTTTCCACAAAGTATATTTTATTTCATATTATGTCGTAATTCTACTTTAATTTTATATTTCAACCAGTCCAGACAACGTACAAATGTAAATACAAATTTACCTGTATCACCACAGCTCTTTACATTCGTTTAGACAAGTGAAAAACGATACGGAGAATTCTCCATTTTGTTCCATTTTCCGACCTACTTCGACGCACTGTAAACAACAACATGCGACATAGCATAAAATAAAAGGCGTTATCCGCAAGCAGCGTTGTTGCTGCAGCCCCTGACAGACGCGGCGGGGGAAGTGCTAACTATCCCAAGAGC